CTTCGTATCGTTCTTGACGACATCGCGCCACCTCTTCTTTGGTCTTCCCCTTCTTACTTACCTGGCAGTGTCAATGTTAAGGCGACACTTCTACTTTACCCTGTTGGCCTTCTTCTCACGTGACAGAACCAACGGAGCCTGCTTTCGATGAGCCTTTCTGAAATTGGTGCTACATCTGAAACGCCTCTTATGGAGCTGTTTCGAATGTGGTCCTTTCTGCTGACACCACGCGTCAAGCTGTGTATTCACACTTCTGCAGAGTTCAGTTGTTGCTCGTGTCTCTTCAGGGTAGCCAAGCATTTCGCTCCGTACCAAAGCACATCGCTGACCTTCATCTTCATTTTGACGGGCATCTTGTCGCACAGTACTCTACTCACTTCTCTCCATCTGACCCAAGTATTGTTGCCGTCAAGTTAGACAGCTGTACAACAGGGTAGTGGCTAAATCGCCGCGTCAGCGTCCCAGACTCCCTAACCAAAGAGGCTGTAGCCGAACCCAGACTATCCACAACGCTTCTCAAACTGTTCGATATGATTCACCACGGCTCACTTCTTGACCATTCCTTTTTTTAACCATTTTGCTGATGCTCTTAGAATTCTGAGTACCGACGCGAAGATCGAAAAGAATTGCTGCGAAGTGAATCATGAAATTGATCCTTCAATTACGTTGTTTTGTGGAGAAATTTCAAATTACTCGATTACATAATGGAAGTGATTCTCCTAAAGTGCCTGAGGAAAAGTGCGTCAATTTCTGATGCAAATGCTGGACGGCTCTGTGGTACTCTGGAAGCCAAATGGTTACAGTTGATGAATGGTGGAATGGCGTTGCCGCAACTGCCCTGTTTGAAAATGGAGCACATCGGCTTAATGGAGCTTCGCCGGATTCCGGGCGATCGAAAAGAACGGCTGAAAAATGGGTACCTAACCGAGTAATTTTCTCGATCACCGGGTCAAACAACAATCGAAGGTCGTCATTCTTCGTTCATAGGCGGCATCGGACCATGAGGACACCGTGTCTTTCTGTCAAGTAGTTTGTTAGTCGTCGAGCGCTGAGCTTCCTGTCCTTATTGCCATCGTCTTTCACGCATCATTCTGCTTTTTTACCGGACTTCTGCCTGCCCAAAGGTGAACAATGAACGGCTGTGAGCGTAATGTTACGAGAACTCATTGTTTGCACAAAAACTTTCGTCAAGGTCAACCTTAATGTTTAAACCAATGAGTTACGATTGCCGTTGAGGGGTAAGCCCCAAAGAGCCGTCCCAAATACTTTTTCCCCTGTGGTCGTTCGGAGCATGAATGCACTGATTTTCGAGAAATTCCGTTCGCACACATTAGAATTTCTCAAGGTTACCACTCAGTATATTGAAATCAATGTCATTACGGGAGAGAAAATGTTCAAATGATTATAGCTTGGAAACGTTGCAAGAATAACAGACCGTCACAGGTTCAAAGAGATATTAGACTGAGTACCAAAAGATGGTAAACGGTCTGTGAGAACACCTCAAGATCGATGGCGCGAATAAATTAAGTTTCAGCATCCTGGATGACGCCCAGAGAAGAGAGAATCTTGTGGCTTAATCTTCGAGATTCTTCCATTTGGCAGTGGATCGAACGGCTAATGAACTAATGATGATCATATTCTACTACCCTTATCAAAGCTTCTTGCGTATTCTATTCAAATTAAAATGCCAATTTCAAACTATGCTATTGCTTATTGGCCTCCGACATAATTCATAAGTTAACCATATCGTGGGGTGTTGCATCCGATTGTTATTTATATGATTGATACAGAAATCTGACACTTGACAATCCAGAATATCAAATTTTCAAAGCCAAAGAGTGGAAATAGTCAAATAGTCAAAAGTTTGCAGAGGTTTCAGGCGGAGAGTACTATAACGCAACATGTATATCAAGATATGTTCATGCACAGGAGTATATCCAATAACGCAAGCCATTCCAAGACTAGATTTCACGGAGCATCTGCATGGTTTCCTTGGTCCTAGGTGACTAAAAAGGGGGGTGGGGAAGTATTTAAGCAGGATACGACTTAAGCTTATGCGGTAGCCTACGAGGAGTACCAGCTCATGAAACATCTTTCGCAATGATCGCGAGAATAATTTCTATGAAAAAAAAATGATGCTAGATGCATCTGGAACTACAGGTCTTACCGTGGAGACGTGGCTTACTGAAATGGTACTGTACGGTAGCCAGGAGTAAGGGACGGAGCATTTCGTTTTTATACTTGATCCTGGGAGGGCTACGCGATATTTAACATGACGTGGGTAATTCTCTGCCTGAAATGATGAATATTCGCATACCCAATGTTAGCCAACCTCATGAAGCATGGTTTCTGAAATGTTTAACGTCTATTTGGTCCAAACGATGTTTTTCCCAGTGTTATCTATCAAGCAGTGTCAGATTTTCTGCTTTCAAGTCAATGAGTTATCAATCTCCATGCAGAAAGTGCATGGCATGAACTATGAAAAAATATGATATGATATTTTCGATATGATATGATAAAATATGATATTTTCGATCGGGAATTAATGTGGAGATGGTCAATCGTTATTTCGTTTTATTTGAAGAATACCCTGCCCTTGTCTTGCTAGAACTGCCTCACGAGCCACGCTGACCTCCGCTAGCCTCGATGATCGGTTGTTATTTCTTGTTCATTACTTTTTATCAGCACTTTTGTGACAGATTAAGAGAGTACACTTCATCATACTTAGTCACGCCATGTAATAAAGTACATTGATTTTTGCGTAGTCTTCAGGACTCAGTCGTCAGGGTGAGATTACTATGGAGAAAGCTAATTTCCAAATCTAACAAAAGAGTTAAACAGAACACAATAATCAACTGCGTTAGAAGTGATTGACTGTTTTTAACGCATGGAGGTCAGTCATTAACGATTATGGTACAAAGTACTAGGACGCAATCAACTGCACCGACACTTGCTTTAACAGTAATAAATTTATGTAGAAATGAGATAGCATCATATTTAATCACACAGAGTGTCATGAGCATATGTAACTGACGATGCACAAATATGAGTTCAGTTCTTGATTATGCATCATAAAAAATATCACGTAAAACTACTAAAACAAACAATTGAAATGATTATTCCACTGCTGAAGCATCAGGAGTTACCACTGGTGTGGACTTTTAGAAACATCTGCCGAGAGAAGATGGTTTGGTCTTGAAACTTTTCTCAATTCTAATCTGTCTGAATCAAGATATCCTTATTAATCTAATTAATAATTCCTTCTGTCTTATCATACGACTTGTTTTCATCAATGACCGCGTCACAGACGAGTCCACGTACGGCCATCTTCTCAGCGTTATGCTCTTAGCTTCCATCGTTGACCAAGCAGCTTGGTCATTGGGTCATCCCAGAGTGTTGATGAACGACCGAAAGGTCGCCTGCTGCAAAGAGGTATCGAGTCGGTAACTCGGTATGTGCACTGCTGTCTTTCAGACAAGCTACATGATCAGCTCATTGGCTCTTCGGGCCAGGGGGCAGTGAGTTCGTCCAAAATCGTGTCCAACACCAAACTATTTCAATTG